TGACACACATTCATAGTTTAGATTTTGAGATTTTTTTTGTCGGGGAAAAAAAAAATTGCCCGATTTTTCTCACAGTGGGCTGAATGAGAGGACGGGGTTCGGTGGGCTCCATGCGTTTGCTCCTCAGGTGGGTCAGCAGATGGAAGCAGTAGTGGTGTCGATAGAGAGGAGGCAGGTTCTTCAGGATGTCTGCAATGTGCTCTGTTCATTAAGAGAAGCCACAAATCAATAGAGTTTAGTAATGAAGTACCAGTTTGCTTTGCAAGGAGGAAACTAAATCAATGAGCAGCGTTTACAATTAGTATGAAAACCATGTAAATCTTAGGTTTTAACTTTCAGAGTCACTTGATTTCAACTCATTTGACCACCTTTGTCAGAATGGAGCCGATTTGTTGGCCAGCATCCTCTACAAGCATCGCAAAAATACCAAATGTTAGGTCTGTCTCCTCAAAAGTCCTACACAGCCTAACTGCACTCTTGTGACGGAAATATATTTTCTGCCAGATTACTTTTGTTTGCAATGTATCACACATATATTTCTCATAAATATACTTTTGCTATTTATATTAATGCTTTAATGTTGCTCTTTTTTTTTTTGGATGGGGTGGGACTCGTTATCATAGGAACCCAGAAAAGGAAGAAGATGCTTCAAGCATGTTTAGCCCAAACTGTGCTATTTTCCTAAGTCTTAGCAAATAGCTTTGATGCCAAAACCTAATGAAACAACAAGTAAAAAGAAAATGAAGTCTAATAATAATTATGAAACCCATAACCACAGTGAAAGTTCTCTTGCAGACTTTCGCTTCCACCAAACACAGACTTTGTGGCTCTTTTAAAACTGAAAGCATTTCCTACATGGACATAGTTGTGCTTTTAGGTAAGAAATACTTTCAAAACATAAGTAAGAATACAGTTTATAGAACATCATTTTTGCTAGAAACTGGTTGCAAATGACAATGCAGTTTGTTGGCTGCCATATATTCCTTTAATTTGCCATGCATGTCCGTGTTATGTCACTGATAGTTTGCACACAGAGATGGTGTTTCTGCATGCACTTGGGACTGTTTGGTAAATAGCAGCATTTTCTGCTATTGAGCATGACTGACAGAAGGGCTGTGAAAGTGGAGTTTAAGGTCTGCTGGACACATAGCGAGGGATTAAGATGATTTAATATATCGATTTTTTTGTGAAAAAAAATACATAAACAGCTCAATACTGCTGAGTGTGTTGGTCCAAAAACAACAGCGAAAGTGATTTATTGCGAGATAATCACTCAGAATGTCAGAATATTTACTCCAACTCTACTCTAACTCTGTCGAATGCAGGCTTACCTGAGATGTACCTGTGCTCTTTGGCGTTTAGGTGACAGGTGAGTCTCCCTCCCATTATCAGTTCAGATTTCCTCTCATTAATTTCGCTCCACTTGTCAGCGTCTCTCCTCTGCCTCTTATCGTAATCTCCTGTCCCTGTTTGTCCTCACCTCTCTCTCCACCTCTTTCCTTTCGCTCACACGTCATTTCACTGTGTTGCACTCAATAAAACTGATTGATGTTGACAGTCAATACTTGGGACAAACATGGCAAAACAACAGCTTAGCCCACAGATGCCCTCATACTGCAGTTTATTTGCAGCAATGTTAAACAATGGCATCAGGGAAAGGAGCAATATTACAGAGATGGTGCAGGCGTTTGTTACTCTTCAGTCACATTATCTGCTTTTAATGCAGAAATGATGCAGCCCTTCGATAAATAGTAAAGGTTGCTCTTTTCTTGCTCTACTCTCACATCAGTCGCCTCCTTCAGTTTTTCACCTTCACACCTCCACTCGTCCAACCTCTCTGGCAGCAGATTATGCAGACTGAGGTTAAGGCTCTTTACTATAAATGAGCGTGTGAAGGAGTTTGCATTCCCTGTAGTCAAACAGCCGCAGTTCTATTTTGCACATTTGCAGCTAACCGACCATGTGAGTTGCATGAATTATCACTGACATTACTGACATGGAGGCCTAGTAAACAAGGACAGAGGGAAATTCTAGTGCATCTCCCGTCCCCCTAGTTCATCACCCTCTCGTCAGCTTGGAGTCAGGCCACAAAATCCATCCTGTGGCGATGGTGTGACTAATGCAAAGTGGCATAAACCAGAATCAGCTGTCGCAATTGAGCAAACTGATGACAGAGCCGTACAGTCGGGATGGGTAATTGTGCGCAACAGCTACTGAACGTCTAATGCGGTGAAAAAACATCTCACCAAACACAATTTTCACAGTTTTCTGAAACTGATTACGTCTGGAGAGAAAGAAGGTAACACTCAGCTGCTGTGGTGAAGGACAGCAGAAGAAGAAGAAGGGGAAAAAAAGACCGCTGACAGAGAAAAACACGAAACACAGAGCTCCACAAAAAACCTTATGGAAAACACATGTAGGAACACATTTTGTACGAGTGATGTGTTTCATCTTGTCCCAGCCAGAATATCAGAACCCGCTGCAAAGCCCTAGCAGAAGTCTTGTGTATTTAAAGTTTCACAACAATCATTCATGTATAAGAGTATTAAAAAAAAAAAAGTCTTACTTATCTTAATTCCTTTCATGTCCAACAATAAAAGTCTAGTTTTTACAGATTTTTAAGCATTTGTGTGCTGAACATATACCCATTTAGAGAAAAGGCACACTTACAACAACCTGCATTGTTTCTCGAATTTTCCTCCATTAAAGTGAGAGAATAAATGTAAAATATTATTAGATATTAAGCAAAATGTTGAAAAGCTACCGGGCTTTTTGGGGGTTATTTATTTATATTATTCTGCCCAGTCATCTCTCGGTATTTTTGCTATAGGCTTCCTGGAGGGGAGCCAAAAGAAAAAGGTCAGATTTGAATACTGGAGTTGATTGTAGTTAATTTTTCAACAAGATATCGCAGCTCTAAATGCAGTTCATGAAACAATTGACATGACCAGGGTTTATTGGTGTGTGGACACAATTAACTAATGCTGTTAGATGTGAACTGTGTGGAGGATTATCTGTCAATATTCTTACATTCATTACTCTAACATCACTATGATGCCATGTCAATATCCCTATCTGGGTCTTTACACTATTTTTATTTTTATTTTTTTGTCATATCAAATATTTAGAGAGTAAGCCCGTTAATCAAAACAAGTTCATAGATTTTGCTAAAATCCTTCTCTGGTCCTCGATTAAACCCCTTAAAGCTCAAGTCTTTGTATAAAATTACGTGTTTTGATTTTTGTTCCTGTGAAAATAATCTTTTCCTGCTGTAAAATGACTTAGATGTAACTCTACACTGTTGCTTCTTCTAGAAAATGGATTTCTATGAAATCCATGCTTTTCCATCCACCCACCGTCCTGCTATTTGTTTCAGCTCAAGCACACCAGCTCACCTGCAACTAAAGATACAGCAATAGATTCAAAAACCCTAAAAAGACTTGCTGAGGGCAGTTTGGACACCAGTCAGATGTACACAGTTGTTTATTAAGTGCAAAGTGTGATGATGAAGATTAGAGTTAAGTGGCTGCAGTGTGAGGAAGGTTTTGTTGAGGATCGGTGGCAGCTTCAAGGTTGACAGACTCCACCTACAAAAGTGCGGAGAAGCAGATGAAAAAGGAGGAAGGGTGGGGCACGAACAAGAACTAAGAGGTGTGCAGGGTAATTTATAGATGTTTGACATGAAGGGGAGAGTTAGAGGTGTTGTCCTGCTCCTGAACTTAAGCTCCTTTCTCGTCTAAATGGAAATCTATGAAGTCCCTTTAGGGTCATTTTTAAACCCCTAAGAACTCATCTCTGTGTATTAAGTTACATATGGAAAGTGTTTTTTTTTTTTTCTTTCCAAGAATATAATCCTTTCCTGCCTTAAAATGTCTTAGATGTAACTCTACACTGTTGATTCCTTGACAGTGTGCAGAGGCCTCTCACTATTTCTCCATCCGCCCCTATGCTTTTTGCTGCAACTCGAGCACACCAGCCCACCTACACTGTAAGACTACTCTCTGCTACACAATGCCAAGTTGTAATATTGGAGTAATTCAGCCATATAGGTGCCAGCTGGAACCTGATTCTGAAGAATTTTCATTCATGATGTCTCTTCTAACATTTAACAACACGTTATTGACATGTTAACAAGGTGGAGACACTGGAGGGGGCTCTTTAACTATATGTGTCCCTCTGCAAAGAAAACCTATTGCTATTTACCACCAGACATGCTGTCAGATGCAGTAAACAGATTGTGTGACTAATTTATTTCCCTCTAGAACATATGATTCAATGACATATGAATCCTCTGTTTAAACTGATCTCTTCTACTCATGTTCAGGATTTGAGCAGGTCAAACTGTTAAAGGTCAATGAAACAGGATCCAATAAGCATAACTCAGGCCTGGCATACAGAGCTGTACATGAAGTACTGGAAGTCAGAGAATATCTCTTCATGACCAACTGACCAACATGCTCAGTCTTTCTTTATTAAACCCTGAATCAGAGGGGTTTAAACCTGGCGGAATAAACTGAATAATTCCACACATGACACTGCAAGTGGAACATTTTAAACAATTGCTACTGTGCGCATCACAAGTATTCACACCTTGCAGTTGTACAGCCTAATTACCACTACACCTCTATGGCGGGAAATGGGAGAAGTAATAAAAGTGACAAGCAAAGGCAAAGGAATGAATTTGGCCTTGAGACACGAGAATGTATCATAAATCACGGGGTCGTGAAAGTCAAAATTGACTCTGCAGGGTGATGTATGGCAACGTGTGGTGCAGGCACGTTGGCAAAGCCTCAAGTTTGAGGTGGAAATCGTAAGCGGATCTACTGTACGGAGCTTCAGTTCCTGTCATGCTGCACACAGATACATGTAAGCCTTACTTATAGACTCATGTAGGACATATGCAACGCTGATTCGGACACATGCACATGGACTCAGTGCGCCTCCCCTTTGCTCTGCTCCAGTTCCCACTTGTCCATCTGCTTTCTCACAGTTTAAATCTGACACTCATCATATGTGGAGCCTTCAGTCATGAGCTACGAAGCTCCTCTCCCTGAAGAGCTGCCTGAATCTGAGGCTGAAGGCCTCGACTCTCCTCTCTCGTCGCTTGAATGTCCAGAGCGGTGTGAGGAGCCTGAAGAGAGCCTGTCGATGTTCTGTTTGGATGATCTGGAGCCCTTGTGTCAACAATGTGCAGCTGTGAACCATGCAGGACACAGAGTTTACCTTTTAACTGAGGCTGCAGATGACTGTAAGGTAGGAATCAGGCATTCGGTGCTGCAGTGAAGCCTGCAAGACATTGCAGTTGCATTTAAAACATATATTTTCTTCTGTGCATTACTGGAACTTATAAGTAAATAAGAAAATGTATTATGTTTTAAGACCAGAAATGAGCCATAATTTTCATTCTTTTCACTAGTGGATTAAAGTAAAAGGATGTATAGTTTACAGAGAACTGACTATGAATAGAGGCAAATTGCTGCACTTAAAATGCTGCATAAAGGAATTACTTATTTTTACACGGCTGTGCAGCAACTGAAAGCAAAGCAGCCTCATTGTTTGACACCTGTCATAGGTTTATTCGTCCATAACACACGAGCAGTTCAACCAAAATGATTTTTCTATTCTCTAATTGTTTCATTTGAATATGTTTAGAGGCCCCAGTGACTAAAACTATGCAGCATTTTGCAAGAAAATATGAATGAATAGGGAAAAGTAGGGGTAAATGAATGTATTTTTGTGCATAGAAAGATGTTTTTCAGATTTATTTCACGCCTACTTTGACCAAAAGTAAAAGAACTGAAGCCGGCGTGCTTATTCCACTGAAAGCAATAAAGCAACATCCTGAAGGATCAGAGTCAGAGCAGCTGGCAGGAATTTACTGTTTTCCTCAAGGACACTTCAGCAGGGTAGATGATTGCCAACAAGAGTGCTTGAATGCTGGTATTCTAGTTACAGATGCTCTTATACCACAAAAGCCAAACCAAACAGTAACACAAAGGCTTCAAATAACAGCGGAGCTCTCAATAGCACAGACTCTTACAAGATCTGAGCCCACTCTTTTGCCAAGACTGAGGGGGCCCTCTCATGACTGTTTTGTACTTTTTCATTTGCATGCTTCCTGCAGCCACACAAAGTAGATATTTAAACAAGGAAGCAGTCAGGCTTTTTTTAAAAAGAAGAAGAAAAAAAAAAAACTCTCCTGTAAATATTAATTTTCCCTGCCGAACAGATGCCGCCTTGTGTTGATCCAAGATTAGTTGATTCAAGCTGAATTTAGAGCAACTTTGAAAGCGGCATCAAGCTGAAAACTAAGCTGGTAATGACTGTTTCTATCCTTGTGAGACATGTGGCACGGGAAATTTGAGCACACACGCAGCAAAAAGCCAAGAATAATCTGGAGATCTGCTGGTGTGTGTGTGTTGAGTTCCTGTGAATGTTGTTGGTAAGCATACAAGCCTGGTAAATATTCTACAGGGAAGCATCTGCCAATAAGCTGTTGACAGTGATGAAGGATCCAGATGTTTTATTTAGAGGTGAAGTGGCCATTCCTCTTAAGAAGTAAAAATACTCAAATTTTACTGTAGGAATATGCACTTATATTAAGAATCTCCAGTGCTCAACAGCTGCTGCCATTGCTTTATTTACTTGATCTTAAAGTATGCAACTACTGCTTTTGGTGCATCTGTAATAATTATTTTATAAAATTTTGCTCAAGTTTCAGGTTATAAAACCTTGATCTTCAGCTCATATCAAAAGTGGCCTATTTTAGTCAAATAAATTACAAACAACTCATTACTGTACATAAATGATACTTAAGTAAATGTTACTTTAAATCCCCAGATCTACAGGTCTACTGACACAAAACAACTGCAGGACGACTGACCACAGTTTTTGAATATTTGCGAAGTCGAGCAGACCCAAAAGCAGGGTGGTTAGGGTGCATGCCATACGGCTTTAAAGGCTCTAAAGAGAAAATCCCCAATCCATTTACCATTTGCTGCTTGTTATTGCACTGGTAACATCTGATAAAAGCACAAAAATGCCCCCTAAATATACAGCTTCGTGTCAAAATAATCCTCCTTTTGGCCACTAGGAGGAGCTCAGAACATCTCTAACTGAAATGAAAAAGAAGGTGATTGACTTCAAGAAAGTCCCACAGACCTATAAACACACGTCCAAGTATAACCAGGTACCAAAACATCTCTCAAACTCAACTGAAAATAGATTTCACCATTTCTTCCCCTGCTGTCATGTTTTACAAATCCTTTCCCTGCTTTTTGAGGCCCAGGCCAAAGTCACAGAGGAGCACATGAAGAAAGAATTTGAGCAGCTTCACCAGTTTCTCAGACAGGAGGAAGCAGCCAGACTGCTGGCACTGAAGGAGGAAAAAGAGGAGAAGACGTTGGGTCTTGAACAAAGGATGGACAAAATGAGTCGGGTGATAAAATCTCTGGACGAGAGGATCCAGCTGATTGAAGAGGAACTGGAAGCAGGAGGCGACGGAGTTGAATTTTTACAGGTAACATCAATCAAGTGTTAGATAATTATTTAATGAATGGGAAAAGGTGTGTATTTGAAACCTTGTAAACTCTTTTTCACAGCACTACCAAAACGAGATGAATAGGTATGTGGCTTTTTTTTATTGATTCCCAACAAATCAGCAGACATACAAAGAAATGCAACGATGTGACTGTTTGCCTGTGCACATTCATTTACTGCAGCATAGATCAAAAGAAGCCAGAGATTGTTTGCAGACCTCTAATAGATGTGGCGAAGCACTTGGGTAACCTCCAGTATGATGTGTGGAACAAGATGGAACATGTCGCCCCCTACAGTTGGTGTTTTTCTATGCATTTGCTTCCAATCTCATCCCCAGCCTTCAGTCTGTTTCAGCTCATCTCTGTCCTCCAGTTCCAGTGACCCTGGACCCCAGAACAGCTGGCCAGTCTGTGAGGCTGTCTGCTGGGCTTAACAGCGTCCACATCAGCCCTGGACCCTCAAAGGCGTTGAAACGTTATATGGGTGAAGCTGTGGCCGTCCCTGCCAACCCTGAACGTTTCCACCCTTATTCCTGCATTCTGGCTAGAGAGGGCTTTAACGCAGGCGTGCACTGGTGGGATGTTGAGGTAATTTGTACACCAGAGCTGGACTTGTATATTTATGAGCTTATATTTTCAGTTAGATTTTGCCTTAGATTCATGCGTTTGACAGGCTGCAGTTTATTATATAGGAATTATAGTAACTTTAACCCTTATGATATAGTAATCAATAATAAAAGTTCATTTTATTGTTAAATCCTACCTTGCTAGACATTTGTTGCAATACTTTACCAAAAATTATGTCAATATTGTTTTGGTGAATCAGTATCAGCCCAAAAAATCTATTATTTTTCATGTCCTACTGTATTTAAACACCTTAATACAGGCTTTTTTGAATTGCTGTGGACATAAATTCTTTTTATTATTTTAATATCAGACTCCTTTTTCAACAAGTTTATGTAAGTGTTATGTGCTCCCAGAGTGTAAATTTTAAGTTTCAGCTCACAGTTCTGCACAGACAGTTCACTCTGCCATGTTTATAATAAGTCTGGATTTAGTCGTGTTCCAATCTGTAGCTTTAAATCAAGCTTTGCAACTGTGCTGCCATCACCTCCCTGCATCTACACTGTTTAAGGTGGAGAGGACGCCACAACAGGCTGCAAATTTGTACGCCTTGTTCAGAGACACTTTTTCTGATACATGGTGAAAGTAAAGGTCTTTTCTCATATTTTGTGGGACATGCATTTATGATTGCAAAAAAAAAAACTATGAATAACTGCACTGTGTGTGTCACATTCAGTTTTACGTTTCTTCTCTATTGCTTACAACAGGTTGGTGGTTGTGACAATTGGACCCTGGGTGTAGCTGCTGAGTCGGTATCCAGAAGGGCAGAGTTTGAAGCCTGTCCAGAGGCGGGACTCTGGTGCATCAGCCTGAGAGACGGAAAATACCAAGCTCTGACCACTCCGTCTAAGGCCATCCCCCTTGCGCATCACCTGAACAGGGTCCACGTGAGGCTGAACTGGGACGGAGGGCTTCTAGAATTCACCAACCCTGACACTAACGCACATCTTTTCACGTTCAAACATTGCTTTGCTGAAACGGTGTACCCGTACTTTGAGAGTATATCCGCAGGGGGTAGTCTTGCTTTGTTGACACAAAGGGTGAACATCAGCGTGGGGTCAGATTGCGTCCCCGTTGAAGACATTGCTATCGTCAGAGAGGATGAGGGGGAGGGGATGAAAAATGAATCTACTGCTGAGAAAGAGATGATCACTAACGGCAAAGTGGACACTGGACATCTGACCGAAGAAAATAAATCAGTAGTTTGTTCTGTGAGACAGGAGAAGACAACAAAAACTACTAAGAAGGAAAATAAATCAAAAAATAAAACTGCTGTTAAAAAACAAAGCAGTAAGAGCAGGTTCAATGTGAGCTATCATGTTTCACTGAACAAAGCCCTAAACAGCATCAACAATGAGCATGCCAGCCACAAACAAACCTAGATAAACCATTTTAACAATAGGAATTTCTATCTTTGTGAATAATAACCAGTATCTGCAAAAAACTTAAATGCAATATTCACAGTAAATACCCTTTTTTTACACTCACGCTAGTATTATTCTTGGTTTTTAACCCTGCAGCATGGCTCCAGGGTTTGCAGTTTTGCTCTGTTTTTGCACCATTTTAAGTCAGACCATTGGAGATGGATTGCCTTTTAATTAGATGCATCCATGGTGCTCAAACACTGCACTCTCTGATGTTTTCCTCTAGTGTCAACATGAGGTTAACATTTGTGGTTTTTAATGAAATGTCACTGCTTTTAGATGTTCTGCCATGAAATTTACAGGCATGTTCCAGTCTGTAATTAATAAAACGATTCTTTGACTTGTAAGTTAGCGGCATTATCAAATGAAAATCAGAATGTTGTTAAAAGATGTTTTGTTTCGTCTTTTTGCTTATTAGCACATGTTAACATTTTAACACTCAAAACCAAGATCGCGAACATCTACTGCATTATATCTGCTAAACATCAGCATGTTAGCGTTGTCACACACTGCAGTGACTCAGTACAGTAGTTCCCACTGATGTAGACTCTTAACCTTGTTAAAAATACATCCAAGAAATATGACGTTTTGCGTATAAAGAGTGATTAAAATATGTATTTTCTGTGTGCTCCTCAGTATTAAAATACATCTTTTTAATGTATGATTTTGCAACATAGGATAGTAACTTGAGCTTTATTTTAAAATGATTGTTGAGTTTTGTATTTGTGTGTCATGTTCGTCATGTTAGTTTTTGTTGCATTTTATTGGATGTGAAACTCTGTGTGATTATTTTTATTAAGTATTTAACCAGTTATAGAATATTACTAAAGCAAACCATGTAGTGTAAGAAAAATCCCACTAAATTACAAACATATAAGTTCATTTAATTGCAAAAACAGATCATGTTTCCAGTATTAGGATTTTTACAGCAATGTAGTTGTCTTAATCGTTTTCATCCCTGACTTTTCTGTTATTCCTCGTTTCCATTTAAATCCACACAGTATCCTCACCAAGTGTCTTTATCTCCTCGTCCTCTCCTCTCGCCTCATAGAGACACGTTCCCCTCCATTATAGCCTTATAAAGTTCATCAGTAACAGCCTCGTAACAACCAGCACGGCTGTTCAGAAAATAAATCTTTTCACTTGTGTCTTGCGGCTTGTATCCTTCCTTTTGTAGCCGTGTCTTTTGAATTTTGAAAGTACCTGAGAACAAAAGTGGGAAATGAGTTTGCTTTGACTTTTTTTTTTGAATGCATTTGTGTTTGAGTGTCCTTGCGTTGTCGTCTCACCTGTAGTGTCAACAGATGGCATGATTCGAAGGAAGACGGGGCGTGCGTAGGAGGGTAGAGCTTTTTGTACAGCGATCAAGAACACATCAAGGTCCAATTGGCCTCCTGCATGAGCTATTGCTGCCATGCCAGCCTTTCCCTCCACCCCTGCACACAGACAGTTAGACAAACAAGTGCGGCAATGAATAGAGGAGTAGATAAGACATATTTTTTCCATGCTGACTGACTCATATTATAAGTACCTAGCACAGACACTCCATAGACGGCAACATCAGTGTGTCCCAGAAGGCCGCTGAGAACTCCCTCCACCTCTGTGGTGGAAACATTCTCCCCTCGCCAACGAAATGTGTCACCACTGCGGTCTTTGAAGTACATGTAGCCATATTCATCCATCACCAGTACGTCACCTGATGGACAAAGACAGATATATTAACAATCATCATCGTTGTGTAACTCACGGTAATCCTAAGAGCTTCAGTAGACAGCAAGTGGACTTCTGATTTTGGCTTCTGATGACATTTCACCTTTTGTCAAAGACACTTCTTAAGTTCTAACTTACTGATGAGGAGTCCCAGATATGCTGCCACCTCTAAATCACCAGAAACCTCCCCAAACAGACCAATGCCTCCTGTTTGGCTCCCACCACCCAATTAAAACACAAGCTGGAGTTATCAGAACTACACAGCACCAAGTGAGAATGTTCCTACCAAGACAGAGGGAAAAGAAAAGGACATACTTATTAAGAAAACTCCTAAAATCTTTGAGCTTTTACGAAGGCAGCAAACAGCTGGTGGCACAACATTGTCTGTATTATGTAGCTGGAGTGTCAGCCAAACTTAGAAGGAATGTCCACATACTGGACAGAGAAGACTGATGGTTTGAGAAGGGAGTAAAGGAAGCCATCTGTGTTAAACTAAAACACATCATGTTTAAACAAAGGAAGAGGTCTGCAGCACCACTTGTCAGGTACTTACAATGCATCCCTCTCCAGATAATTTTACAACTGTTACCATGGGACATTGACCTTATGATCTGGGGGTAGAAATAATTACCCGGGACTCCCCATCAGTCAGTTAGAAATAAGTAAGCCTCTTGGATGAGAGACAAAATCCATCCATTCCACTTCAGTGAGTTCAGGTAGCAAAGACAGCAGAGGGAGCAAGTAATTCCAGACATCACTCTCCCCAGAAATGCTTTCCAGTTCCTTCAGGGGATCCTGAGGGGTTCCCAGGTCAGATGAGATATATAATCCCCCAGCAAGTTCTGGGTCTACCCCATGTACTCCTCCCAGGCGGATGTGCTCGGAAAACCTCCAAAGGAAGTCTCCCAGGAGGCATCCAGATGAGATGTCTGAACTACCTCAATTGGCTCCTTTGATGCGAAGGAGCAGAAACTCTTCTCTGAGCTCCTTCTAGATGTCCAAGCTTCTCACCCTGTGTCCGAGCCCAGCCACTGTACAGATAAAACTCATTTTGGCCGCTTGTACACATGATCTCATTCTTACAGGCAGGGGAAACATAAAAAGATTTTCTCCAAACACAACATCCTGATTGCACTTCAGACCCAGCAACTCTCTGAGACAAAAATAGGTTGACCCTGGGGATGCAGTCTAATGCAGTTTGGAGTGCACAGACCTATATATGGACGAGACTAGACAGATACAGCAGTTCCCCAGTATCTTCTGGATCTAAAGGACACTCCTTTGAGGACAACAATGTCAATAGTTTGAACAGAGAAGACAGATGGTTTGTGTAAGGGGTGAAGGAAGCCATGTATGTTAAGCTGGAACAGTCATCTCTGAACAGGAGGTTTACAGCACCACTTTTCAGGCTGCAGTGTTGAGCTATAGCCCCGAAAAGTTTCACAACCATTAACACCCCAGATCAGGCAGTTTGAGGATGGTAGAATCTGCAGTGTTTTAACAGTACAGTCTTGACTCTGGTATAGAAAGATGGTGAATCACTGCTGTCTGTTTTTGACTTAACTAAACAAGCATTTAATTGAAAAAAAAAAAACAGAAATGCAATTTTGATACATTAAGATGTGTTTTTAGGGGTTTAATTAATCAGAGGAACAAGATTTCTCATGAGGAATTTAACAGAGGTAAATGTTTTTGCTGAAATTCTGGAGAAGGACCAGACCTTAAAAGGCCTCCTTTATGTCCATCGTCTTTAAATGAACCATAAATAAACTTCCTGTGTATTGTGTAATGCCCTCAGCAGTGCTTTTTTTGGTTTTGGTTTTGTCTTATTTAAATCTGTACCTCTCCAGTACCTGTACTTTTTAATGGATAAACAGTGACGTAATATCTGTTAATCATCATTCAGTGTTTTTTCTCATAGGGAGCCGAGGCCTGTCTAATCATGAACTGTAAAGACTAACAGCAATAAACACCTTGGAAGTGTTTCCATTTTTACAGACAGTGAATCACTCTCAGTTACACCTATGAGCCATTTAAAGTCTGAAATACAGTTTTCTTACACTAGATGCCTTTGAACAGTGGGATGAGACATGTCTGAAATCAAATGCAGACAGTCTATTGCCACTGTTTAGACTGGTGTTAAAAAGACAGAATAGAACGTGCCTGAGATATAAGCAGAATCTCCCATCTTGAACACGTTGTGAGCGATTTTCTGATTGGTGGAGTCCTTATCCGCGTAGCCGTCAAACCTCCTGAGCGGATCAGTGAGGTTGATGCGTCCCACCAACATGCCTGGCTCCCCTATAGAGACAGAGACACAACTTTTTTTGATTCATTTGCAACACTTGTGACATGTTTTTGTTCCCCCGCGGCTTTATGTGTGTGTTTTTGTGGCGTTACCAGGCAGACAGGGTATGCACAGTCCCTGTGAATCCCTGAGCAGCTGTCTGTTATCCTCCTGCACCCTGACCAGTCTGATGGGGTAAAAGCTGGGCAAGATACGACTATTGAATCCACACGCCCCCACCTGAATGTGTAAACATACAACACGCTGCATGAAGTGGGATACCATTTTTGAAATCCTTCAGCTTGCCACAACTTGCACGAAAGCACACCTTTCCGTCTATGTTGATCAGGCTGCAGTTGCACTCAGTGGCACCGTAGAACTCCCCAACTCTTTGGATTCTGAATCTCTGGACAAACTCTTCCCACACGGAGGGTCGGAGGCCGTTACCGTAGGCAACACGGACCCGGTGTTGAGCCTCAGATGGGCGGACAGGCTGGGCCAACAGATAACGGCAGATCTCACCTATGTACTGGATAACCTGGATACGCACACACACACACACACAGAGGCACAATTACACACCAAAATAGAGCAACTTCTCTTGTTTACAGAAGTGGCTCAAAAGAATCAATAGGAAGAGAATCTGGCCTTTGGCCGGACACACTTATTGCATTAGTGTGTACTCACAGTGCAGTTGTGTTTGACACAGTCGTCCCAGAAGCGACTGGCTGAGAACTTCCTCCTGATCACAATAGTCAAGCCAAAGAGCAAACATTGTCCTACACCCATGATGGTACCTGTAAACATCCACATGAGCACTCACATACAGCACATACAGTACATCCACACCAAGAACATGATACTAGCCAACTTACTCAGTTTTTAGTACCGATTCCAATATATTTTTCATTGTATGTTAGCCAGTGGAAGCAAAAGACGTCAAAAGAAGACATGATTATTGGAAATGACCAACATTTTAAAAGAGGTACAATAATACAGCACAAGAACTTTCCAGGATGGTTGACTATAACTGTTGGGGTAATGCCATTACGTATGACTGCGATCGTTATCATAGCAGCATGGAAACATGCTGGTAAGAAGGTGGGATGAGGGTTGGATAGTGTCACTTTTTGCATGTTTTTCATCTTGTCTGACAAAATTTTAAATATTAAGGGTTTTCAAATATCTTATCAAAGGCAGAAAAAGAATATAATTGATGAAAAAGACCCAACAGAGCAAAGCCTACCTGCAGAATGATAGAGGGGAAGGCAGTTGTAGATGATGTCATCATGACGCAAGCCAAAGGAGTGAAAACCAAAGGCAGCGATGCGATAATACCTGTCAAGTAAAATGGAATAAAGTGACTGACAGAAATCATCCTTTGTCTGCTTATTAGTAGACAACAATGAGCCTTGTGAACAAAAATATAACTGCAGCATGCAAATGGTCTTCTTTCCTGACTTCGACAAAAAGTTGAAAATCCAATTTCTGCTGGTTTGGTTAGGAATAGGTGTGATTTAGCAACTTGAGTTCTTCAACCAGTGACAAGGTCTTGTCCCCCACACCAAGGCATTGATCCAATAGCAGAATGACGTCGTAATCAGCTCCAGTGGGCGATCACTCACTGGACTCTAGCAAAATGGAGGATGGTGCTTTTCATCGATGGATCTCAATTTCAGCTGTACTGAGCAGATGGCAGACGTCGTGTTTGGCAGAGGACCGGGGAACTTTATGCCAATGTCAATGTCGAACAGAGTGTGACCCATGGAAGTGGAGGACTGATGGTATGGGCAGGAATATGCCAAGGTCAAAGAACACATCTGCATTACATTGATGGCAAGCTCAACGTCCAACAACATCAAGACTGAAATCTACACAACCACAAGTATCCCATGTATTCGCTGCCATTACTTGGTGTTTTAACAAGACAACGTGCGTCCACATGTCACTAGAAGATGCACTGCCCTTCTATAGCAGATGTCCCTACCATGGCCTGCAACACCCATCTAACATCTGTGGGATGCTCTTGATGGATGTGTCTAACAATGTGATTCTATCCCCAAAATGTCCACCAACTTAGCCAAGTGACTCAGCAAGAGCGGAACAATATTCTAATAGCAGCATCAACAACCAACACGATGCAAACGATGAACACACTGATTTTTTATTCCTGGTCTATGACCCAGTTTGGATCTGCCCAATATCATTTCCAGTATAGTGCATTGTTGGTTGTTTCACAACATCTTTTCTGTTGTACAGATGCCGTGTGTTGCAACAACAAACACTAATTCCACAATGCTAAAAAAAAAACAAA